CAGGTCTCGTGTGTGTGTGTGTGTGTGTGTGTGTGTGTGTGTGTGTGTGTGTGTGTGTGTGTGTGTGTGTGTGTGTGTGTGTGTGTGCATGCATGCCAGTACTGGGGCTTGAAATCAGAGCCTGAATACTGTCCTTTAGTTTTTTGCTCAAGGCTGACACTGTCATTTGAACCACTTCCAACTTTTTGGTGGTTAATTGGAGATAAGAGTTTCGTGGGCTTTCCTGTCCAGTCTAGTTTCAAACCTTGATCCTTAGCCATCTGAGTAGCTAGAATTACAGGTGTAAGTCACCAGTGTCTGCTTGGTCCTCCTTTTACTAAGCAGACGATGGTACTCTACTTCCTAGGCCCCTAAAAGTCAAGCAGATGTTCAGCTTGTGACAAGTTAGAGTTCAAGTTCTGAGCTAAGCTGTGACTCTTCCAAGCAATAACCTTGTGCTGTGGCTAGAGCCTTGCTCTGGATGGAGAAAGTGGCAACCCTGACTATGGGGCTCAGGACACAGCATTTAGTGTCAGCAAGAACTCAGTCTTCATAAGTGTGTGTGTGTGTGTGTGTGTGTGTGTGTGTGTGTGTGTGCCAGTTCTAGGGCTTGAACTCAAACGTGAGCACAATCCCTCAACATATTTTTTTGCTCAAGGCTATCACTCTACCACTTGAACCACAACTCAAGTTTTGGCTTTTTTTTTTTTTTTTTTTTTTGATGATCAATGCCTGGGCTGACTTCAAACTGTGATCTTCAGATCTCAGCCTTCTGAGTAGGTAGGATTACAGATGTGCACCACTTACACCAGTTCAATCTTTATAATATTTTTTTCTTTTTCTTCTTCTTCTTCTTCTTCCACTTACACCAGTTCAATCTTTATAATATTTCCTCCTCCTCCTCCTCCTCCTTCTCTTCTTCTTTTCTCCTTCTCCTCCCCCTTCCTTCCCTCCTCCTCCTCCTCCCCCTCCTCCCCCTCCCCCCCCCTCCTCCTCCCTTCTCCTCCTCCTCTCCCCCCCTCCTCCCCCCTCCTCCTCCCCCCCTCCCCCTCCCCCCTCCCCTTCCCCCTCTCCCCCTCCCCCTCCTCCTCCTCCTCCTTCTTCTTCTTCTTCTCCCCAGTCCCAGGGCTTCATTTCAGAGCCTGGGAATGATCTTGAGCTTCTTATTTGCTCTAGGATAGCACTGTACCACTTGAGCCCCAGTGCCATTCCTGGCTTTTTCTGTTTAAGTGGTACTGAGAAATTGAACCCAGGACTTCATGCATGCTAAGCTAGCACATTACCATTAAGCCATATTCCCAGCCCAATCTTTGTAATTTTAAAGAATAAGAAAGCAAGGATTGTTTGTTTATAACCTACTCTGAATGAGAGAAAATATTATAAGCCTGTCTTTAGCAGAGAAGTTGTATTTGCTTTGCTTTTTTTCTGTCTTGTCTTCTAATTTTTCAAATAATGGTTTTTTATCTGCTTTAGACTTTTCTTTTTTCTTTTTTCTTTCTTCTTTTTTTTGGTCATGAGGCCTGACCTCTGGGCTTGGGCACTTTCCCTGAGCTCTTCAGCTCAAGGCTAGTGCTCTACTACAGTGCCACTTTCGGCTTTTTCTGCTTATGTGGTACTGAAGAATTGAACCCAGGGCCTCATGCATGTGAGGCAAGCACTCTACCACTGAGCCACCTTCCCAGCCCTGGACTTTTCTTAAATATGAATAAACAATAACATTAAGTTAAAGTGAACTGATGATATGGATACATCTATGGTTTTATGGTGTTTATGCTTCAGAATGAAGCCATATTTGCATCAACAAATGCATAAAATATACAGAATTAAGCCAGGCACCAGTAGCTCATACCTGGTATCCTAGCTATTCAAGAGGATGAGATCCAAGGATAGTAGTTCAAAGCCAGCTTGGGAAGAAAAGTCCATTAGACTGTTATAAAATTAGTCAGCAAAAATCTGGAAGTGAGGTGTGGCTCAAGTGGTAGAAAGCCAGCCTTGAGTGAAAAATCCAAGCAAGAACACAGTGCCTTGAGTTCAAGCCCCAGTATTTCCCCTTGCCATAAAAATGTAAAGAATAATACAATTTTCATGCACTTAGAGTATATTTTTTATGTTAAGCTATAGTGTAGTCACCACAAACTTTAAAAAGCAATGTGTGGCATGCCATTGAATCAAAGTCTACCAGCTAGAGAGAAGTCTGCTCCTATCCCTGAGCAATGTGCCTCTAGGAATATGATAGTATAGTTTCCTAGGAGATTCTTATGGGGCTGACACCTTCTTCTTTATCGAAATTTTAATGTAGTCAGCAGAGGAGATCAACTATGATGGATGTTGACTAGAAGGCTGTGTTGCCTTGTCTTCCTTCCTGCATAGCATAGCACGCATATGTGCACACATGCATGCACACACACACATGCATGTGTACAGGCCTGCATTATATAACATAGCTAGGCTTTAACAGAATTGTTTTATTAGACAAAAGGACTTTACATTAGAATTTTGTAGAAGGGATCTGAAGAAAAATGATCCTAGACTCTAATGGCTGTGTTTATCTGTATTTATTTGCACATGGAGACTAGCTGGCTTGAATGAAGACAATAGAAGCTAGTGCTTTTTCCTGGCACCCTCATGGGTTAGAAGCCCTCTTGTGTTTCCTTTCAACCTCCTCTGACACAAATAGCAAACGATTTTTGCTATCTTTGATGACTGAGGTCTCATAGACTAAAATTACATATCTCTGGGAATTTCTTAGAGGTTAAAATTGTCTTCATGATTTTGCCTACCATCTCTTGAGTATTATTCAGACTTTTTCCATCCACTTTACTTACCTAAAATTGCAGAGCACAACAGGCTATCAGTAGAAATAAGAATCATATTATTGGTCCTGTTTTTAAAAGGCAGTAAACCTTGGTTTTATAAATAAATGCTTTATTCCTGTTCTCCTTCCATTTCAGAATGCACATTTACTATGTGGAATTATAATGAATTATATTTCTCAATAAAAGATTAAAGGAGTAAAAAATGTGACACTAGTTGTATAGTAGTTAATATAAAGGAAAAACTTTTGAGAATGCTCTCAATTTTCTTTGTAAGGAACCGAAGAACTTGTAGCTTCTGAACTCCACATAAAAGGGTAATAATATTAAAATTTTTATACTTCTGAAATCAGATTTTAGATAGTAAGAGATGACTTGACAAATATACAAATGATCGTTCTACCTGTATACATTAAGCTTTTAAAAATAAGATTAAAAAAAGAACATAATACTCTATAAAAACAGGGATTTTTTTAAACTGAATTTATCTACCCTTAGAATAGTTAATTACTTTCTGCTTGGTAAATTGTCTTAATAGAGGCAAAAGTTGTATTTAAAAATTTCAAATGTCAACTCTTAAGTGTAGTTGCATTGGAAACTACATATATGGAAGATCTCCAGGGACCTTGAAGACTCAGACTTCTGAAAAAAAGTTAATAACCTTCTTTCCTTGTTACTAAAAAAGACCAAGGTAAAGCATTTCAAACACCCACAGGATCAGCTTGCTGCCTGAACGCTCGGTTCCCTCCTTTCATCTTACTTGCCTAACACTCTACAAGGATGTTTGTTACAAGAAAATGGACAGCAAACTTGGACATTCAAATAGCACTTTCTAAATTTTATTTTGTTTTATTTTAGTATTATCCTCAAGTAGTTGTACAAAACGATTTCAATTCATATCAATTTATGACTACAATACATATTCATCAGTCACTCCTGTCATTCTCCCCCAACATCCATTCCAGCCTTACCTGTTCTCTTATGCTACTTGGTTCCATTTTAACATATGTATGTTGAGTTTTATGACTGCATTCATCCACCTTTTCTCTATTTGTCTTCCTTGTGTTCTCTCCCCTCCTGATAACACATGCTTTAGCTTCCTGGTCTTCATTTTGTTATACTGTCAGTTCATTGTTCAAAGGAGTTACATTATTGAAATTTATCCCTGAGTATGCCATACTTTGATCAGTTTGATTGTGTATATATGACCGTGTATATGTTTTCAAAATATTTAGATTTTAGATATAATGTCTACATATGAATGAAAACATATGCCATTTGTCTTTCTGAGTGACTTACTTTACTTAATGTAATTTTTCCCAGGTCCATCCATGATCTCTCTTTTTAAATTCAATTAGCCAAGATAAGTTATCAGCTAAAAACATTCCTCTGGAGCTCAGGATCTGGTCTTGTGGGACAAGTATAGATGTCATGTCCAAGATCCCTTGTGGATCAAATTAGTACCCAGAGCAAGTTCCTTACTTCTAGATTATAAGCCCATGCCTTGATCTGGATTCCAAAATCAGAACCATTTTTTTTAAAAATGCTCTTATTTTCTAACATTCACAACATGTGTGGATCTGATGAAAATGATGCTCAGGTGGCTCAATTAGAGTGCATTAGTAGCTGTTCCATCAACAATATCTTGTCACTGGGGCTGACTGCGAGCTTCCCAGTTAGAGCAAGGAGATAGTTTCACAATGTGTGAAGACTCTAATATCAGCCTTGTTAATTGTTAAATTGTTAGTAAATTTGGAACACTTCATCTCCTAAGATCCTTTCAAATCCTTTTTTAGCTCCTCTTTTCAAAGCCAGCGTCATAGTGATAATAACAATACTATCAGGCAGGGGTAGAGAGCAGAGACTGAGTGTAGAGGGAAACCTGTGATCAGAACCCTGGGACCTGGAACCTTGGTTATCCAAATATCATCATCCAGGCCACACAAATGTCTGTGTCATATAGGTGATGCTGTTACTGACATTTGGAAAAGACAGGACAGGTACTTAGGCACAATTTTCGAATTGTGGAGCCAGAATAAGAGGAGGAATGAGGAAGACATAAAAGACAAAGCTAGGGTGCTCCCTGTGTTTAGGTCCTTTATCTACCTGGAAGCTGAAGAATTGTCAACTCTCGAGAAGGTGTTGTGCTGTGGTCCTGGCTAACCTGGCACACTTGTTAATCAATGTGCATTTCTCTTTCCTTCCTAGGACAGCTTTCCTGCCCGCTTTGGAGGAGTCCACTTTGTCAACCAGCCTTGGTACATTCATGCCCTATACACACTCATCAAGCCATTCCTTAAAGACAAGACCAGGAAACGGGTAAGGAAAACAAATGTGTCATGTGAATTCCAAATTCTCTCCGTTCCCCCTCCCCTTCTCTTTCTCTCATTACCTTTGGTTTTGAAGCCAGTGAAAAGTTGTACATTTGAGTCTCATTGGTTGTACATTTGAGTCTCAGCCAGAGTTTGCAAATACTCTGTTTAATCAATAATTTAGTAGATTTAGCCTACAGAGTGCCAGTGACACATCAAAGGAAACTTTGAAGTCATCAAATACTGGATGTCCATTTTACTGTAAATACTTGTGGGAAATACTGTGTCAAGCTACTTCCTGTTCATAGAATGTTTCCAGAGCTAGTGTTTTGTCATGTAAATGTATGCTCATGATTTTTGTTACTCCTTGAGACAGTTGGGGAGATAACTGCCAGCGCCATCACCAGCTCCATGCATTCACTTTATTCTGCACTGAAATAACAATGGCCTTAAAAGGAAGGCTTTAAAACTTAATTGCATCAGGGAGCTTTTGAGAAACCAGCCTTTTTAGTTGGAGCTGGTCTTGCATGGCATTCTGGTTAGCTGGTATTCTTGAACTGCTCTAAATCTCAGTTTCCTCATTTATAAAAAGGGGAAACTAACATCATCACAAAGTTGCTGGGACAACTTTAAGGAGATGGTGTGTGAAAGCAAATAGCATGATACCATTCATGTAGCAGACTTGGTCACTTTTATTTCTTTATACCTTCTAGCTGGGGGTTAAATTTTCCTCCCTAGCTTCACTGTGGTATGCTTGATGAATAAAATTTGTCTATATTTATGATATAAAATGTGGTAGTAGAGGCTGGGAAGGTGGCTCAGTGGTAGAGCGCTTGCCTTGCATGCATGAGGCCCTGGGTTCAATTCCTCAGCACCACATAAACAGAAAAAAAAGCCAGAAGTGGAGCTGTGGATCAAGTTGTAGAGTGCTAGCCTTGAGCTGAAGAGCTCCAGGACAGTGCCCAGCCCAGAGTTCAGGCTCCAAAATTGACAAAAAATATGTGGTGGTAATATATATTATTATATAACATGCAATATGATAATATTTATATATTATGTATATGATTATATTATTAATCAATATATAATGATAGTTATATATTATATAATATGGATAATAACATATATTACTATATAATAATATATAAGATACAATATATTTATAATAGTTAATATATTATAAATAATCTATTATATATTATACACATAGTACATATGTATATACACATGGCAAAATTATTATAACCAAGTCACCCATTTATCACTTTACATAGTTAAGAATTTTTCTCCAGTTTATTTCTTCATCTTCAATTGTCTTTGGTGTAAGAACACATCCAGTGAACTCCACTAGCAAATATGAAGTATACGAAGTAGTATTGTTGGCCACTGTGACTATATTTTACATTAGATCTAGAACTTTTCATCTTACTAAACTGAATTTTTGTACCCCTTCACCATCATCTTCTCCCTCCCCCCTCCTCTAGGCCCTGGAACCATCCTTCCACTTTCTGCTTCTGTGAGGCAGACCATGCAGTATGCTTCTAGGTCCTTAGGGAGCCTTGAAATAGAATGTAAAAAGGATAGACAAGTGTAGACCTGGAAACCAGAACTCACCAACTTCAGCAGGCAGAGGCATTCTGAGACATTTTGTCATCTGTCTGGAAGTTAGGATAGCACTAAAGACAGAGGTGTCCCACACTGACTGAAGTGTGGCTAGAGGATTCCTACTCCATTTATCTTTTATCCTAGATGGGGCAGTAGCAATTTCTCCTACAGTGGACACTTGCTTCTGTGCCAGAGAAGGGCATTTCTGTGTCTCTGGGCCCAGGACAGGACTGCACAAGTACAGAGTCCAGCTTCTGCCTCCATTCCACAGGTATCTAGTAGGAAGGGACATGTTCAACAGTACATCTGTCCTTTAAGGACTAAGCATGTTAAGTATACTGCACAAATATATACGCTAAACATCTGGTGAAGTATTTAACTTAAATATGCTTCAAATACTTTAGCACCTTCTAAGGAATTTTGCAAAAGCCAGAATAACTGAGTTTCTTCAAAAGAAATAATTCTCATTAAAATTCACTTGTACCCAACTGCAATGTCAGAATACATTATTTTTAAGTGTATTTTAAGTGTAATAGTATTCAAAAAGAATTCAGCACTTGGCTTCTTTTCCCCAATGTCTTTACATGATGTCATTGAATTGTAAGTCAAATGGACACAAGATAATAAGGCAGTGAGTATTTATTACAGTAAGTTATTCTATATTCAAGCATTTTTGAAAATTACTAATTTAAATTTCATCATAGTTTATTATGGTTATGTACATTCACATGTATTTAATTGATGATCTTGGAAGCAACTTGTTTAATTAACTGTGTAAGTCATGTGTTATATGTAACTATTTCAAATATGCAGCATGATGAAGTGTGGGTACTGACATCTCCATATACACATATACACAGTTTAAATCAACTTTTGAGATAAATTCCAAAATTATAGTTAATGTTTTATGCATCATGCATTTTGTGGATTTGTTTGGCAATAATTACAACTCCAGGTTGTTTCTTTTTTCCTGTTTGACCAGTTTCTATCATTATCATTGTATGCTCAAAAGATACAAACTTATTTGGGTAATAGCCCTATGTATACAAAAATCGTTTCAGCCTCCTATAGCACATTCTCAGAATAACCATTTTCAGTTCTGCTGAGTAAAAATTGATTTGCTTCTACTTGCACCCATACCATCCTAGGAGCCACAAAACATGTTAAAGGAGTCAGATAACCCCACTTCTTTCCCCAAGTGTCCTCTCCCATAGAGATGCAAGGCATAAATGAACACTTTGGAGAGAAAAGGAAGAGAGGTCAGCAGATATTGAGGAGATCATTGGGAGGTGAGTGAGGAGAAGCAACATGAGCAGTATTCCTGAGACCAACTTAGTAGGAAGAGGTTGTAAATTGATTTAGGCTGGAAAGGATGGGAAGCATTCAATTGTGAGAAAGAGCAAGTCTGAGCAACAATGTGAAGCATGGTGGGGTTTAAGATGGTCTGCCCCACTGCCCCGGCTATCAGTAGGTATGATTAAAGGATGGCTAGATGTATAACCTTGAGCTATGGCCAAATAATATCCAATCTGTTCAGAAACTTCATTTTAACAACTATTAATTCCATCCCTTTGCCAAGCAAAAAATTACCATTTTATAACAGCTAAGTTTCAGTCTCAGGATGAATGCCTCTTTAAACAACATGATCACCAGTAACACTTCCAATTTGTCATTGCTTAATTGTGTATCAGATTAAATACTGGGTTGTGTTTCAGAGTTGATTTTTTTTCTTGCTTGCTTAATTTTTTTCTCTTTCTTTCCAGATTTTCCTGCATGGAAACAATTTAAACAGCCTTCACCAACTAATACACCCTGAATTTTTGCCCTCTGAATTTGGAGGAACACTTCCTCCTTATGACATGGGAACTTGGGCCAGGACATTACTCGGTCCTGACTACAGTGATGAAAATGACTATACTCATACTTCCTACAATGCCATGCATGTGAAACACACATCCTCCAACCTGGAGAGAGAATGCTCACCCAAGCCCATGAAGAGGTAAGACCCCAATCACCAGTTCCTTGTGTACAGAGGTCACTTCAAGGGTTTTTTTTTTTTTTTTTATGTAGATCTATGGTGGATTAAGTAGTTAAAGACTTTGTGGGCACAGAATTGAATAAAATTAATTGCAACATATTATCAGCTGATTTCATTAGAATTTACAGTAAATGAGGTTTGGCTGGTAGAGAAACTTAGTTGTCCCCATGTTAATTGTTAAAGGCTAACAACTTTAGTCACAGCCCTGGCTATAAACCACATAATAAGCCTCAGAGATATACTAGTTGGCAAGGCAACCTGCTAGAGAATGTGCCTGTCACTCAATCCTTTGGAACCAAAAGAACATTTGCTTGGCTGCAGCACTGATTAGGCACCAAGAGCATCAATATGAATAAGACTTGGAAAGAACATAGAGGCATGCTTCTGGAAAATCTGTCAAGTGAGACTTTTGGGGAACATCTTGATAAAATTATTTGCATTCAAGCTAGACTCTGACTGAGGAATATCAGCAACCTGGTGAAAGAAAGGGCATCACTATACTAAACAGAGGGGACATACAGAAAGACATAGAGGCCTTACAGTGATGAGATGGTATGATGTGATCAACAAGTTTGCAAGAATGGGGGAAGGTCCAGGCACTGCTGGCACACTCCTAGTTACTGAGGAGGCTGAGATCTGAGGATCAAGGTTGAAAGCCAGGCTGGGTAGGAAAGCATGTGACTCCAATTAACCACCAAAATGCTAGAAATGCTAGAAATGAAGTTGTGGCCCAAGTGGTAGAGTACAAGCTTTGATCACAAAAGCTAAGGTCTTGAGTGCCCAGGATCTGAGATGAAGCTCTAGTAGTGACATTGAAAAAAAATGGGGGCAGGGCATACATAGATTGGCAGTAGAGCATCAGAGGGCATTGGATCCAAGTGCTACTGTTTTTAAGAAAGTGTCATGGAAGAAGAATGCTGTTGTTGTTACTATTACTATTACAGTTATGATTACTATTAGTTGCAGTGTTGGGAATGGAACAGGGCCTTATGCATGCTAGAAACATATTCTAACACTGAGCTACTCCCCTATCCCAAATCAGGCATTTAAAAAAAATTGGCATGCAGATAGTTTGAGAACTGTTTTAAAAAATCTAAAACCTGGGGCTGGGAAGGTGGCCCAATGGTAGAGTGCTTGCCTTGCATGCATGAGGCCCTGGCTTCGATTCTTTAGCACCACATAAGCAATAGAAGAAAAAAAGCCGGAAGTGGCGCTGTGGCTCAAGTGGTAGAGTGCTAGCCCTGAATTGAAGAGCTGAGCCTTATTTTTAAGGCTAAAAACCCCTTTCATCACTATCTCTAATCCTAATCCCAATTTTCCCCATAGGTGACCATTGTCATCAGCCTAAAGTGGCTCTTACATTCTCTTTTCCATGCATCACATGCATCTGTGCTCACCACAGAAAACATCTAAGAGTGTGGATTTGATGGCTAAGATTACTATAATAAACTACCATATATTAGCTGATGTAACCAACAGACATAAATGTCCTTGTAGTTCTGGAAGCTACTAGCATTATGATCAAGGGTTTGGTGGTATTGGTTTCTTTGAAGCATCTCTTCTTAGCTTGTGGATAGCCATCTTTCCCTTCTGTCTTCCCCTGGTTTTTCTATGTGTGTCTGTGCTGATTTCTTTTAAATACATCATTGTATTGGAATGGAGCCCATTCTATTGATCCCATTTTACCTTAATTACCTCTTTAAAGACTTTATCTCCAAATATACCCACTCTCAAGGACATATGAGTTTCGCAGGGGATGAAGACATAATTCAGTCCATCAGACTGTGATGTGACATCTTTCAATGTCAGCACATAGCTTGTGTTTTTTAATGATTCCAGAATATGGATATACTAGTGTAGTCATTTCTTCATTGGTGAGCTTTTAGGTTGTTTCAAGCATTTTCTCTATTTCAAACAAAGCTTGATAAATATCCACAGGCAGGCCTTCTTCTAGGCTGGTTCCTTTGGGTGGACTTGGGGGCCCTGCACTTGCTGGGAGACAAGGTGTGTACATTTTAAATTTTAATCCACAATGCCTAAATGCATGAGACTGAGTGATACTGTTAGATAGTGGACATAATGAGTTAGATCAGCAATGTGTGAGAATCTCTCTCTCCAAGGCCCTTGAGAAATGTTCATTATTATTAGGCTTTACTTTTAATTTAATCTTGATATTAAGACATGTAATTTAATCTTGATAGTAAGACATACCATGGTCACTTTGGTTTTCTTATGAGATAGTGAGACTAGTCAAGAAAAAAGTATAACTAAATCTGCATTTTATAAGAATTACACAAGAAATGTACCCACTACCTTATATATGTAATTGTTACCCCTCTGTACATCACCTTGATAATAAAATTAAATTAAAAAGAAAAAAGAATGATTTTTATCTTTCATATTTAAAAAAATGAAAATGAGATTTACAGGGTTAGTAGGGGCCAGAGACTAAAAGTCTTTGGAAGATCAAATAGGAAGGTAAGGGCCATAGTTGACACAAAGCAGTGGAGAATTTGCTCCATTCCAGAAGGTTTGGCTGTGGAGAAGGATGAGTGTCTATCAAAGTGTGCTCGAGGTAACTGGACGTTTGTACCTAGAATAAAGGCTTCCGAACATCTGTCTAGCTGTGAACATGATTCTCTAATGTCTAATGGGGAGAAGGCTTTTGTTGGGATGGGAAGAGTCTGTAACAAGTCATTGAGTCCTCAGGGTAGCAGTCAGTGATCTCTGGAAAGCATGTTCATGATGTTTGAGAAGTTGGTTTTTGTCTTTCCAAAGAAGAACTGACCTTGCCTTACTGACTGGCTCAGGTGAGATTGTCCATTTCTTGTCCTAACTTAGTCTTACCCAAGTAGACGGAATAAAGCAACTCAGTGTTCTGAGTCTTTTATCTGCACTTTAATCTTCACTGTCGTTGTATGATAAAGATGCTATTGCTATCTTCATTTCACTAATAAGGAAACTGGACTCAGAGAAATTGACTGGCCAGTGGGTATGATCCCACAGCAGCAGCAGGTAAATGACTGTTCTGAAATTCAGAGCTGGTCAAGCCTACTCTGGGCTCTCTGTTCAGGTCCTGTATAAGACCTATTCTCACTGCTCTTCCTCATGCCTCTGTCTTTTCTCCCCATGTCCTCTATAGTGGGAATGGGGATACTTCATGAGTCTTGTCTCTATGAATTTCTAGAAACCCTTGAATAATACCATCATATCATCACATGTTTGAAACTCCAAATTCAAGTAGCATAACATAGGAAGTTGCCCCTTTCCCTCCAGATCACTAGTCACAGCAGTACATCTCTTTTGAACGACTAGAAATCTCCTGATTTCAAATTCCTATGAACCTAAGGTTCATAGACATTAGTAGTTTCCATTAGTAGATTGTGAGTTCTGGAGGAAAAAAACCCATTGTGCCGCTTTTACCTTATCCCTTGGTAGGAATCCAACTCAGTGCTCAACATGTAGTAGACATGTACCAGAAACCTATCTGTGCATGCGAAATCTGTGCACGTTAATGTCAAATCAAAACAAGTCTCTCCAAAACTCATCCTTGATGCATTTATTCAGGAGTATCAAATACAAGGAAAGCACTCATTTCCTCAGTCTTTAGCATGGGTCTGGTGGGTTCTACTTACACTCTCTCATATCCTAGTCAAGGAGAGAAGCCATGCCAATAAATGATTGTAGTTGGGCCAGGACAAAAGAGACAGTATGAAGGAGAAAAACCTGCCTTGGCATCCTGTAGAAGCATCACCGATGTCAGCTAGGAAGATGCCATGGAGGACTCAATGGATTCCCAGGGTCTGGAGCACAAGTTCATTCCTTTTTTTTGAGAGTAAAAAATCCAAGGCAAGCAAGAGAGAGAACATAGCAATTACATACATGCCTCAGTTGCCCCAACAAAGCAACCAACATGGCCTTCTCATTCCTGCTGCCTTTTGTGACAGCATCCTTGAACCCTTGTCTGGGATTTTCAGGCAGGAACAGGAAGGGTGTTGATATCTACAAGCAAGAACCACCTCTGCTATGTCTACTGTCAGGTACCTCACTGATCAAAGAAGAGAACAACCACCATTCATAATGGCTTTGGATGTCTCAGAACTCATAGAGGCAAGGGAACATTGAAAACAGAATTTGGAAATCTTTTAGGGTTATCTCTCCTCGTTTCCTACTTGACAGTTCTTTTCTCCAGCACATATTGTCAAGTGCTCCCATTTGTACCATCCAGAGACAGAAGGCAGCTGGGGACAATGTGTTCCTGCTGCATGGCCATGTTAGAAGTGTCCATTGTTCTAAGCCAGATGCCCTTGGAAGAGAATTTGGTACATACTTCCTATCATTCTACCACAGACTTCAAGTCTATTTGGAGTAAAATGGGCTTCAATAGACTATCCTTGAGATCTAATATGGCTTCTGAACACATATGGACACTGAGTTCCAAGAGGTTCTTTTGAACAGTGCTTTTTAGTATCTGTGTAGGGTAAAATCTAAGATGCCTGAAATTCTTTCTAGTGAATAAATAGTTCTAACAAACTCTGAGCTTCTTTCTCCAGTAAGTGTGGCTCAAGGCTTACTTATTTTTTTCATGTTTTTTTTTTTGAGAGGGGGTCCGGTCGTGGGGCCTGAACTCTGGGCCAGGGCACTGTCCCTCAGCTCTTCAGCTCAAGGCTAGCACTCTACCACTTGAGCCACAGCGCCACTTCTGGGTTTTTTCTTTTTGATTATGTGGTGCTGAGGAATTGAACCAGGCATGCAAGGCAAGCGCTCTACCACTGAGCTACTTTCCCAGCCCAAGGCTTACTTATTTAAAAAATTAGTAGTTTAGATAAGAATTTTTCTGACTAGAATATTTTTTGTATCATTCTTGTTTTTAATCCAGTGATGATCTTCAGGGGTGAGGCATTCTTTGCTTTAATATTAAATGACCTAGAGTCCGGCTTTTTTTTTTTTTTTTGTCGGTC